AAAAATAAAAAAAAGAAAATATTTGTCTGAAAGTCAATTCTCAAGGGCCGGTCAGATAGCTCAGTGGACTAAAGCACCTGTTTAGGCAGGCACAGGGACTGGGGTTCAATCCCTGACACCACATGCAGTGCCAGCCCCACCCCCAGGGCATGCTGAAACAGCCACTGAGACTGGGTGTGGTGGTGTGCGCCTATAATCCCAGAGCTTGGGAGGCTGAAAACCGAAGGATCACTATAAGTCCGATCTGTGTAGCGAGACCCTGTAGACCCTGTCCTAAATACATTAAAAAAGAAAGTCAGTTCTCTAAAAACTTGGCTAGATCAGTAAATACATTCTTAAGAGCTAAATACTAAATAAATATCTAGGCTTTTGGGGCTTCTAGTTTCTGCTACAGACACTCACTTCTACTGGGGACTAGCTAGGAACAATATGTGAGTGAACAAGTATGGCTCTGTTCCCATAAATCAGGACAAGGTCTGACTCATGAGCTACCGGAAATCTGGGAAATAACAGGTCTCAAAACAGACACCAATATCTTAACTCTGTATACTCTATATATTTTACCCAATTCTAAGAATATTGTGATTGAAAGTAGCAATTCAAGGAGTCATGGTCAGAAGAGGTACAAAGTCCCACAGCCCTACTCCCATTTTGTGAAAATAAAAACCAGAAAAGCTGAAAGACTTAACCTCTAGGTCATAACGATACAAATTAATTGTCTCTTATTAAAAATCAAAATGCTCCAAAGTCTGAAACATTCTGAAAGCCTGAAAAATGCTATATATGGAAAATTGCACATCTGACCTCATGTGACAGGTCAGAGTCAAAACACAAGTACATTAAAAATATACAAAATTAGCTTCAGGCTATATTATAAGGTATGGAATACAATTGAATTTAAAGTTTAGACTTGGGTTCCAGCCCTAAGATACCTTATTATGCATATGCAAATATAACCAAATCTGAATGAAACTACAATCTAAAACATCTACAGTTCTAATCATTTCACCTAAAGGATATACTCCACTTGTAATGGACCACAGGACTATAAATCCCTTAGGAGTAAGTTCTCTACCAGCAATATGATAGCTGGACCATGAAGGGATAGTCCTTAACAAAGAGTAGACTCAAAAAGCTTGGGAATGTGAGGATAATACACCATAGGAGAAAAACAATCTTAGACCTCTGTGGAGCTTCCAGTGCAGTTTGATATTTATGTGATATTCTGTTCAAAAAGATCTCAAGATTTAAACAACCACCACATAGAAAATGGGACTGTATTTCAAATTCCTTTGCTAAAGAAACAGGCTAAACTATTTATAGGGTCTTATTATTAGCACTGCTATCATATAATGGTTTCATAGTAAGGTTAATCTATAATTCCAAGAGTGGTCCAAAATAATAACACTGGGTCTCAGTAGTAAACTTTTATAACTAAAAAGAAATTTAAATTGACAGAATAATTATACATCTTCGTGATGATGTTTTGGTTTCATCAACTAGAGATAGTTAAGTCAAAAATATTTCACATGGATGATAACAGACATGAATTAATGGAAGGGTGTTTGAATTTTTATCTTTTTTCCTTCATTGGCTAGTTATTGGATGTACTAATAAGCAGAATATACTAAAAAAGAAGATAAAAGACAAAGAATAAAAGATAATCCCTAACTAGGCAATTCTTCTGCAGCTGAAAAGTAGCATTGCATTTTAGTCTTCAAAACCTACAAATAACAGGTCAAAAATACTTCCCCAAACACAAAATTTCTAATCCTGGACAATGATTTGGGAAGCCAGCACCAGTGGTGAGTTCTGTCTCTCCTGTAGAGTCCTTTTAATTCCACAGGTGGATCAGATACTGTCCTAGGTCATTCCCTTCATCCTCCCAAAGTTCTGTCAAAGATTTACCTCAATTTCAAAGAAAAGATTCAATGAAGTGAACTTACTTAAAGCCATACAGCTCTCTGAGGTGGGAAGTTACTTGGTCTCTGGACTGAAAGCCTATCTGCCCCCATTCCTACTGTATTATACATACCCATCTTTTTCTGACTATAAAGGATTCCATTTAAATACTCACGTTTCTAAACTTTTAATGGATTTTGCATCCACTGAGTTTTCAGTATTCTCCATGGTTTCTTTTCTTAACTACACTATAGAGAAAATAAAAGTTAAGGAAAAAAAAAACCAGTCATTATAAAATCACCACTGCATATTAGTGAATCCAGCGATTATCTTTTCACATCCCATTGTTTTACCCTCTATGGTTAGAGGTCTGTGAGTCAGTCTTGAGGGAATCATCCTTTGCAACAGTATGCATAATGTAGTGAGTCAGTCTGCCTGTCTGTCTCTCTCCCCCTCTCTTTGGCCCCCTCCCTCTCATTTCTTACCTGACTTATCAGGTAATTTATCAGTTATATATAATGGATTACATCAAGTATACAAACAAAAGAACAACAAAAATTCATTGACTTTTGATGAATTTTTCCATTGTCTTCCCTGTCATATCAAGATAGAGACAGTAGCTTGTGTTCTTTACTACCCATAAAATTAGGTTATTTGTAGAAACTCAGATTTGAACTCTACAGTTAAAACAAAATTAAAACTTACACAAGGGTGTGTCTCACATAACACTGTTCCACTATACTTGGATTCCCAAGGGGTACATTATCAAGATGTTCTAAATCTCTATTTAATCCTTATTCTAAGTTGGGTTTCAGACTCCCAGCCTCCCATTTAGAGTTGTTGAGTGGCTAGAGACTTCAGAATAAAAATTAAATCAATCTCATTCTTTGTAACAGATATATCTCATACAGCGAACAAGTCCTCTTGTTCAAAGCAACCACTTACTGAGCACTTGTGACTAACAGGTACTTTGCTGGGCATCTCATCTTTATTCTTCTCAGTAATTTCATAAGTCAGGAAACCTAACTTGTAGTGATTAGGTGATTACATTTGTCAAAGACACCAGTGAAGTGACAAGCTCTTCTCCTCCTACCCTGTTGGAAGCCAGGCCCTTACTCCCCATCTGCTGAGTTCTAGGTATTCTCTAGCTTTCCAGAAGCAAAGGTATTTGCCATGGTAACCTGCTTTCTGAAATAGAGATGTTTCTTCCACTCCTCATGCCATCTCTGTTCACATTTATAGTTGAGAAAGAGCACAGAATAGGATGTGTCACCCATTAAATTTAACAGCAAAAGACAGTACAGTTTTACTTTCTCCCAAAGCCAGTCTAGTTTTTTGCATTTCTAATAAGGCTTCTAAAAATCATAGCTGTGAGCACACCTGGAATAAATAATTAGGATAATCACTTAGCAACTATTTAGTGAATACATGCTTTGTACGAGGCATGACTTTAGGTACTTTAATAGAATGGAAGACAAGACAAAGTTCTATCTTCAAGAAGCTCTCATTCTGGAGAGAAACAGTATAGATTTATAAAAAGATTTCAGATACTGGAAGGGGATATTAAGACAATAAAAATGTAAATTAATAGAGTGTGAGCTACATTAACTAAGGTAGTCAGGGATGTAATCTCTGGTGACATTTATCAGAGACCTAAATGATAGAGTCCGACATTAGAGGCTGGGAGAAGGACCAGCAAGTAGAAAGGAATGAGTCTATTGAGCAGTTTGATTAGTGCACAGTAAAGGAAGGAAAAGAGTGAAGGGAGATGGCTCAGGAAAGGCGAGATCACACAAGGCCACAGGAACCAAGAGGCACTTTGGTCCAGGCAAGAGACAATGATAGCCAGTATAAAGTAGAACAATGGATAAAGATACTTAGGGGTCTAGATCTTGAGGGGGAAGATCAGAGCTGGAGCTATACCGGAAAGGACACATTAGTAAGATCTCTCAAGAATATTTTGACATATACCCTTATTCCCTAATAACAAGCAAAGTTTGATACAGTAAAATTACATTACTAAGAATGCAACCGAAGTAAATAATCTCAGGGGGTGGAGAAAGTAAGGAAAGAATATGTACTATTCATTAAAAAACTGAGACTCTGAGGACAGAGAAGTAGTTAAGTTATAACAATAGCCATTCAATGGTTAATGCAGCTATTCAATTTTTTTTTCCTCTTTTTTCTTTTTTTTTCTACAGTTTTATTGATAAACATATAGCAATGAGACAGTTTCAAATCAAATCGGAAGTACAGTTTCAACAAATATACACTGCATATATTCTTCTTAGTGGTTAATTGCTGTACAAGATGCGGACTTGTGATCCTATTTACAAACACCATTAGAACAAATCATTCCAGTCATTAAGACAATGCAACTATATATCTACCCCAACCACTTTGAATACACAGATACAGAATGGACATTCATCGGTGTACCCCATTTTTCCTAAGTTCCGTTACTGAATATTATAGCTGTGTAAACTCAGCAAAATATTCTAAAAGAGTCCAGTAACAGCTATTCAATTTTTCTTCTTTTAAAATTTCTCTTAAAGACCTTATAACATGGAAAATCCTCAGAATATAAGGCTAAGTATAAGTAGGCTATAATACAGTATAATCTCAATTAATGTACACATTACAAAAAGAACAAAAGTGCTTATGCAAATCATTACATATTAACATATTTGGCTATCTCTGAGTGATAGAATTACTAACAACTTATTTACTAAATTTACCTCTATATCTTATAAATGGTAAGGTAATAAGACCTTGCCATTTATAAGGTAAGAAAATAATAACAAAAGTTATTTTATAAAATACTATCAACAATTGCAGACTACATCAAACAAGATTGTGCTAGACAATTTCAAAACTCAACCCTTGTTTCAAGAGGGACAAAAATAATGAAACCAGTCATTCTTCCTTGCCTCTACCATGTTCTAGTCTATCTGCCTTCCTCTTTTTCTTTCATATAGACAATGAGCATGTATTGAGCACAAGGAAATTTCAAACTTCCATGAACCGTAAGTACCATGGAACTCGTTCCCACACATGTCAATTCTAAGTACGGAAAGCACAAGCCAAAATAATCATTTATCTGTGGTTCAGAAATGAGATGTGATTAACCTAATAACAGAAAACAGCATAGGGTGGCTAACAAGTCTGGATACAGGTAAATGCATCACAAATGACTCACTGATTTTTAAAAAATAGGGAAGAGATAATTTCTTAAAGGTATCTTAGAGGTTCTGATGTTGTCTTTTCTGGCCCTGGGGTCTGCTGCAATCGGCCCTTTAAGTAAACTGCCCAATACAGAGCGCATACTACATGTTCAGGGACCCCTAAGTGCTCATCAGTTCTCACCAACAATCAAGGTCCTAAAGATCTCGTTCCTAAGACTTCTAAACAAAGTTGCAATGCTTACACTGAAACACTGACTTGTAATTTAATAATTTTGCCTCTTGCTTATTAAGCAGTGGGATAAGCAGTCTAGTTATAGAAGCTTTAAATAGTGACCAGCTTTTGAGTTCCAAAATATGTGCAGTATTTGCTTGTTGTATTGGACCAATGTAAGATTTTATCTAAATAGTAAATGTGTGTGTTAACGAGAACTAGGAGGGGAATGTTGGGGATTGCACTGAATACAGAGACTTCACACTGAGCTACATCCCCAGTTCTATTCATATATTTATTTTTGAGACATGTTGTTGTTACTAATTTGCTAAATTTTCCAGGCAATGCTGAAACTTGCAATCCTTCTACTTCAGTCTCCCAGAGTGCTAAAATTACGGGCCTGTCCACAATGCCATGCTAGTAGTAATTCCCTTGTCTTATAGTAAGCCAACTTTCTCTAGCCAGTTATTAAAGTTAAAAAATGTTTCAGCTAGATCATCCTTACTATATAAGTAACTATAATTAAATCACTTCTGATATTAAGCATGAGAGACACATTTCTTATTTAGGAGTTGGTGGTTAAAAAAATGAGTTCTTTTAGGAGTTAAAATAGTATCTTACTATGAAACAAATACTATAATGTATTTAGTTTCCTTTATTAGTAGTATGTGAATAATATGTGTTATCTCAGATATCTGGTGATCCTGACGTGTACTAAAATTTTCTATGATGATAAATTAAATCGTTCTATCATGAAACATGTAAACATCTGCTCTCTGTCATCATTTGCTTTTTCCAAATGTTGTAGCAAATCCACTCTGGGGAGAGAGGCTTTGCTTCCCCACAACTCACTAAAGTGTTACACTGCATTACCTCACCTTCGTTAGCTACTGTCTGGCTGCATATAAATTATTCTGGGGATGGTGATCTCATCTTAGAAGGATAAAAAATGATTTCCTAAGGGAAATATTTAGTGCCCTAAATCATAATAGGAATTTAGCTTCTTATATTACATATCTGACAAAATGGAAGAAAAATAAACAATGAGTTTAAAAAATATATCTGGGCACAGCTATGGACTTACTGTTTTTACTGTGCTGATGTGTAGACTACAGGGCCAGGATTGAAGCCAGAACCTGGCTGTCTCAAGCACTCAGACTCTCCCTATACATTCCATAGACTGCTACCAAATGAAGTGATGATGCTATGGTTAATTTCCAGGAAGGAAACAAAATCCATACTCTCAGAAACTCTAGTTAAGGTAGAGAGAGAGGGAAAAAAAAAAAAAAAATATATATATATATATATATATATATATATATATATGAAACATGAGAAATGACTGCTGAGGACTAAAATAGCAGCTGTTGCCCAGTATCACTCGCTGATTGATTCCAGGACCCAACTGGGACAGCAAACTCTCAAGTGCCTTATAGGAAATGATGTAGTATTCACATGTAATCTATGCATACCTTCTATATACTTTACATTATCTCTACATTATCTCTCGACACTTAATACAACGTAAAAGTTATGATGTTTAGGGAATGACAAGAAACAGTTCATGCAGAGGGTTAATATAGTACACTTATCCTAGTAAGTAATGAAGAAAATAAGAATAGTGATGATGGTATTTCTGATGCTAATGGGTAAGTTATTTCTAAAAGTAAAATAACTAGTTTCAAGTTAATCATTCAATGTGAGACATTAAGTCATTCTCTACATCTCTACTTGCCTCTAGAGGAAAAAAGAAGCCACTTCAATATGATTTCCGGGAAGATTACATCTCAAACAATTTGAAAAATATTGCTATTATATTTATTGCCTATCAGTGAGGACAAAGTCTCAAAAGCAGTAGTGGTCACATTTCCAGATAAAGTGAAACATCTGTTTTGCAATAGTGTGTGTAAGAAAAGATTTCAGCTAACATATACTAGAGGTTTTACTGACATCTTTCCTATCTGGTCTTTCTAATGTTTTTGGTGGCATATAGGAATTACTGAATTGACTCTTGCCACAAGGCCTGGCAAAGTCAATCTTTTAATATTTAAAATATAATTAAGATGAAAACACAAAAGTAAAGTTAAATACAGAATAACCCAAGTTCAGTTTTAGCATACAAACAAATAAAACCATCCTTTCCTTT